TAAAACCTTTTATTCTAAATTTAGTACAATATATGCAACTTTGGAGTTCCAGCTACTATGACAGTCAGATTCTGCATTTTTTTATAGGTATGATGTGTGTGATCTTAAAATTCTGCCTAACAGCTTACACCTGTGTGTAAGCTCCAGCAATTGAGAGCAGCAAGGACCCGTGAATGTGACAGGACTTGACTCCCAAGAATAGGCAATGTTATAGGACACAGCTGACTTTAAGGAAGGAAGATCACCTTGGGTAGCCCCAACCGAAATCAGGAAAGCCTTTAAAGGGGCAAGACTCCTCCTTCCCGGTGAAAGGGATTCAAGTGCTGGGTATTTCCTTCCTCTACATGAGGGAGCTTCTCTATTGCTGGCTTTGAAAATGGAGGTCGTATGGCAAGGAATGGCCCTCTTCACTTCCAGGAGCTAAGAGTGGCCACTGTCTCAGAGTGAGCAAGGAAACAGGGACCTCAGTCCTACAAGCGCAAGGAACTCTGTTCTGCCACAGCCTGACTCCTTCAAGTGCATTTCCGCCCAAAGCCTCCTGATAAGAAAGGAGTGCAGCCAGCAAGTCCCCTTGAGAGTGAGGACCGGCACAGAGACCACAAATGAAATGCACCTAGACTTGCTACAAAACTATGAGACAATAAATCCATGTTATTTTAAGCTACTGAATTTGTGATGATTTGTTAAGCAGCAATGGAGAAATAACCTTCTGGATATCTCAAAAGATGGGTCACACTGATCTTCAGGAATTCTCAAACTTTCAACCCAATAAATATTTCTAAATAACCAGTAATTGGTAAATTGTACAAAGTATTTTCTGATGTTATACTTTATTTAATTCCCCCACAACTCAGTAAAAGAAGAATATCCTTAATTCTCCACTCTAATTTTATTTTTACAGAGACTCATATAGGGGAATTTTATTACAGTCACAAAGACAGACAGTGAGAAATGGTGCCTAAAATACAAAACAAGATAATCATTCTCTTAAAAGTATGAGGTCAGGATGAGTATTAAACACTTAAGACTCTTCAGCAGTGGGATTAGGTTGAGGCAAGTGGGGCAATCACCATGGACAGAAAATTTACGGTTAGAGGGGAACCCAAAAAAATCTCAGTAATCTAGATAAATTATGTTTAATTCACTATTATTTAAAATAAAAATTAATGCCAAAAATTCATGAGAAAACACCACACCTTTAAATACCACCACCTTCCATGGAAGCAATTAGGATTAGACAAGTGACATACTTGCTCTCAAGGTCATACAAGTGCAGAATAAGTTTTCTGTTTAAATCTTTTAATGTTTTGTTCCTCACTCACCTTACCTTAGTCCTGGTCCTGACTTAGTAACGTGTATCCTTTCACAGATCCTTATCTTCCACTTACTAAGAGTATTAACATGCTCTCTTATTTCTGAAATAAACTCTTTACTCATTTATTTTTGTTGCCTGCCAAGTGGCAAAGTTAGATATTCAAAAATATAGTTCACTTGAGGCGACAAATTGGTTCCTGGCTATGTTAAATCTGAGCATGTCACAGGTATTGGGCTAACTGGAGATAGCTCATGGCCTCCTTCACTAAAATGTCCTATTTCTCCTCAGTAACATTATCTTGGCTAGAGCTGATGTCTTAGAGAACGAGGCATGGGGATGAGGAAGCCTTCAGAACTTCAGTCCTTCATTAGCATTTTGGCCACTGAAATGTTCACATGGTATTGCAAGCAACAGGTTTAAGGGTGGACAATTTGTCCAAGTTGAATTGGAACAGAAGGTAAAGAAGAAAAATTTCTTCAGTCAGTAAAAGGATTCAGTTGTTCTCAGGGTCCAAATCAACTTAGATGACTGCTTTTGCTTGAGAAGGTATTATGTCACTCAGGGAGATATAGGATGGGCAGAGGGAAAGTGCAGATATAGATCTCTAAAGAGTTATAAGAGATATAGAACTCAAATAGTTATAAAAGCCAAATGGAGATAAACCTGGATTTATAACCTAGGACTCCTTACCCACAGTTTGTGTGTCTTTGCTTAACAACATTATATAGTGCCAGGCATATTAACCTAAAAACAAGTCTAAATGTCACCTACTCAAGAAGTAAATATTCATTCATTTAGTTTACTAATGAGTGAGAGGTTGGAAAAATTAATTGAAACACATTAGCACATTCTGTCAAACAAATGAGATATTTTTGCATTGACCACGTTAATGAAGAGTCCTCTTATGAAGTCCATTAGGACAGCCCTATATTGAATGTGAACCCAGAGGAAAGCACCACTATTTTTTCTGACTACATGCATAAAACTTAAGAAAATAACAACACTCATATGACTTGTCATATCCACATTAGAATTTATAAAGGAAAAAAAAAATCAACGGGCACCAACTGGTTAACAAAAGAAAAAAGGACACAGCAATTATACCTCTTCAAAGAAAACTAGCTTTGAATAAATCATAGTAAAATTTTCTGTTTTTCAAAATTATAACTATCTACAGGCACAACTAACATGTCGTGTGACAAAGACTAGGGACGGAACATTGATTATTCTAATACTACTCATTATAATCATTAATAACAGGTGAAGTGGTCTAGTTTTCAACTAAGATTTGTTATTAAAATTGTAAAAAAAAATTAATAAAATTTTGGGCTAAAGAGTTTTCTGGCATTGATTAAAGATTTAGCTTTTTAAATCTATAAATCTCTCTGTAGGCAGTAAAATGGGGCAATTGTAAGGTTCACATTAAGAAGACAAAATGGAGGACAGCAAAAGGTCTTATCTATCTACAGGGATATTTCTGTTTATCTTCAAAGGAATGATAGAATTAGAGAAGTTCAATTCAGCAGCCCTTAATGGGTTAACAAATGATAGTGATTTTCCTTAATGACTGCCAACAGCACCACGAAGGAAGCAACAGGTGGCGCTTATCGCCTAATGGAACCGCACTGCGTCACCGCTGCAGCGGTTATGCCAACAAAGAGACAAAATTTAATCTGACCAGGTTTCCAACCCTAACTATCGGAGATTGTTACTGTATTTTCTATAATGTTGTATAGGATTGAAAACTCCTACAATAAAACAATTTTAGTATAAATGTCTCTAAATTTGAAAACCTAAGTACATGAAACCGTATATATATATATATATATATATATATATATATATATATAAAACTACATAGGTTCATAAAGAGATAGAATACCTTCTTTGAATAATACAAACTGAAACCCTCAAAATGTTCCAGGACCAGCCAGGTTTACAGGCCATCTCACCAAATGATGAGGAAAAGCTAATCACTATATTTAGTGAACTCTTCCAAACCATACAAGATGGGAAATTATCCAACAACTTTAACAAGTTCTCCTTGTTACAAAAACCAAATGACTATGCCCCAAGGAAGGAACATTCTAGATTCATAGCATATCTAACACAGCAGTGAATTAAAGAGGCTGTGTCCAAACAATGCAGAGATATCACATTTTAGGGGGAAAAAATTGTTAAATTGGAATTCACAACAGAGAAAGCATTTGCTCATGTTCAGGAGGAAAGAAAAAAAAAACAAAAAGTCAATACTAGTTCATGGCAATAAGTTTCAGCAAACTTACATTAGAATGAAACTTCCATATGCAAAATCAACAGTAAATATATTTAAGTGACAAGTGCTGAAAACATTCACAGTGAAGTCCAGGACAAGACAGAGGCATGGTACCAATTCCACTTTTCAACACTGGACTGAACTGTAGTCAGAAAGTCATACTCAGGAACTCCAAAATGCAAATCATGAATAGTAAAAAGAGATAATAGAAAACGCCACAGAAATCTCTAAAAACGCCACAGAAATCAACTACCAAATAATCAAGTATATAAGGATGTTCAAGAAACTGGTAACTATAGCAAAATCAGTCTAGTCACACAAAATAACAAGTATCTTGGAAAAGATATCATTAAAAACAGCAGCAATATCCAAAATATATCTAAAAAGAGAACAAGTATGTCCTGATACTCGTAAAATATTTTTAAATTCAGACAGAAGTAAAGTAAGTCTCAAAAAGCAACCTAATATGTTTATACGTGGCGAGCAAAGTATTTTAAGATGCCAATTTTCCTTAAATGACTTCCAAATGTTGGCCTTACCTGGCAGGGTTGGCCTGGGGTCACCAGGAGAGGTAGGCCAGCACCTACAAGACGTCCAGGAAAGAGACACTGAGGACTGAGAGGAAAACCCACCCTAAAAGACGGGGCCACAAAACGTCCAGCTACTGTTAGTCTTGCTGGGAGTGTGGGGGTGTTCCAGGCATAGCTGGTAAGCTCTTTACTTCCCACTGAGGGGCTGAGGGAAATGAGAGCCTTGTCTGAGGCCAGCTAACTTGGCTCACTGAGGGAGACTGGCAGGCCCTGCCTAAACTCAGGAAAGACCCCCCCTCAGCGAGTTCTGCTCAATTGCTGCAAACTCAGAACTCTGGGAGAGCAGGGCAGGCAGCACCCTGGCTTTTAAGCAGGGCCGCCAGGTGAGTGTGGCAGGAAGCGCTCACCCGATTTCCGGCACAGCTGCTGTGGCGCAGGCGGCTGTGGACTGAGAGGTGTTGGCTCACGTCAACAGAGGGAGGAGTCCTACTCCCAGGCAGGTGCGAAAATGAGCAAACGTTCTTAAAAGTGGAGGGACAGGCCCCGCCCAGAACAGAGGTGCCCCCCCCAACCCTGCTGGCTCCTCCCCACTGCCACCACAGCCGCTTGGCCGGGGCTGTTGGGTCTGACGACCCCTCCCTGCCGCCTTGGGAATCGGTGGGATGGAGGCCGAATGAGGAGCCTGGGGACTCGTGGGGGGTCAGTTTTAGTGCCCTGAGGTGAACCAGAGGTGACTAACCCCAGCAAAACAGAGGGTGGCCTCTAAGCCCCACGCGCCTCGCGTCGTAGGGGTTCCTAAAACAGCACCTTGAAGAGAAGCAACAGGCGGCTTTTCTTGGAGCCGAGGAGGAATCTCACCAAATCGTGCTCCTTCTTCTAGGGTGATCTCTTCATCAACCTAATTACTTGCACTCCTGAAAATTGTTAGCATGCCACGAGGGCAGAAGAGTAAGCTCCGGGCCCGTGAGAAACGCCGCCAGGCCCGAGGGATGACCCAGGAAATGGAGGGTGTGCAGGCTCCTGAAGCGGAAGGAGAACACACCTCCTCGGCTTGTCCTTGCTCTGAGGCTAGATGTCAGGGTTTGCCTGCCGCTGTGACACCCAGTGCCGCTAAGGAACGGCAGGGAACCCCATCTGCGACCAATACTGCTGCAGCCGATGTTTCACCGGCCAATTCGGATGAAGGTGCCAAAAGCCAGGAAGAGGCCAACCCCAAATCCTGCAGGGGCACTGAGGGCATGCGCAGAGATCCTCTCAACAAGAAGGTGGTTTTGTTGGTGCAGTTCCTGCTGCAGAAGTATCAGAAGAAAGAGCCAATTACGAAGGCAGACATGCTGAAGTTTGTTATCAAAAAGCACAAGAGTCATTTCAATGAGATTCTCAAGAGAGCCTCTGAGCACATGGAGCTGGCCTTTGGTGTCGACGTGAAGGAGGTGGATCCCATCAGGCACTGCTATGCCCTCGTTAGCAAACTCGATCTCACCACCGACGGAACCGTGTATGATGACGGCTACATGCCGAAGACCGGCCTCCTGATGATCGTGCTGGGTGTGATCTTCATGAAAGGCAACTGTGCCACAGAGGAGGAAGTCTGGGAAGTGCTCAACATGATGGGGGTGTATTCTGACAGGAAGCACTTCATCTATGGGGACCCCAAGAAGGTCATCACTCACGATTTGGTGCAGCTCAAGTACCTGGAGTACCGCCAGGTGGCCTACAGTGATCCCCCCCGCTTTGAGTTCCTGTGGGGTACACGAGCCCATGTGGAAACCAGCAAAATGAAGGTCCTTGAGTTCTTAGCCAAGGTCCACGATACCGTCCCCAGTGCCTTCCCAGCCTGGTATGAAGAGGCTTTGCGAGATGAGGACGAGCGTGCCCGCGCCAGAGCTGCCGCCAGAGCTCGTACCGCTGCCATAGCCAGTGCGCGAACCAGGACCCTGACCGGCAGTTCCTCCCACGCCAAGTAAAGCCTGAAGCTGATTCTTCCCTTTGGGGATGAAAAGGTGTGTCAATATTCCAAGAGTGGAGGATGGGGCGTGGGGTGGGGGCCTGGAGAAGTGTCGATCACCTTTATGTTCCCATTGTATGTTGATAACTTGACATGTTACCTTGTTCTTTTTTTTTTTTTTCAGGTTTTATTTCAAGTGTTGAAGTCTGAGGCAGATTGTTTTTTTTGTGGACGAAATGGGCATTCGACATTCTAGATAGTGGCTGGCCTAGGTGGGCCTGGAGAGGACACGTTGTTCTCTGTGTTCCTGTTCAATATGGTAAAGACTTTTAGCTCTCCTTTTTCTTTCTTTTTATTAACTTTTAGATATTGTGTCTTTAACAGAAGGTTTAACTGAATTTAGAATCCTAATTTATTAATGCTTTAGTTTCATATCTACTACAACTCGATAGGTTCCGACTAGTTTTATTATTTCATAAAGCAAATTGAGAAACCTTTCCTATTTCTTAAAGCTCAAAAACAAAACACAGCACTCTAATAGGCATTTCCTTCAAAATGTGAATAAAGTTAATAATAAAATTTTGAGATCAAAAAACAGGAGAAACATAAAATGTTCAACTGTTGGTTTCCCTTAGTCATTTCACTCTGTAGTTCTGTAAAAATAAAAGATACATACCTGGATTTGCTTGGCTTATTAAAGAATGTAGGATAAATAAAATGTTTGTAAACTAACTCACTGGCTCGTTCATTCTCCAAATATTAAGGAACTTTCTGCTCTTTGAAAGTCACTGTGTTAGAAATGGAGAAATCAAGATACAAAACACCCCTGCCCTTAGAATTTTACAAAGAGGCAGTAATCTTATAGGGAAGATGCTAAAACACCCTCTAAGACCTAAAGGGCAAATAAGCAGTAAGGAAGCAAGGTGGCAGGGAGGGCTGGGGGAGCATGCTGGGACCGAGCTCCGGACTGAAAACAGTAAGATACAAATTCCCTGAGAGACAGTTTGGGGTTAGGAGACTAGGTCCCCTCAGTGGGTTATATGCTTAATGATATCTTGGTGGTAAATCAGATGAAGCTATGGGAGCAGTGAGCAGAGGCCAGGTATAAAGATGGGATTTCTCAACATTGAAGGCCAAATCCCTGGAATGGAAACCTGCTCATAAGCGGTACTTTATTGCCATCAATAAACCAGAGGAAAACTCCTCCTGGGGCAATAATGGCAGGGGCCCAGAGCACTGTCTAGTTGTTTTATACGCAGCCTCTTCAAGGAATTTCTGAGAAATAAAAGTGATGCTCCATTCAGAGGACCAGGAAATTCCTATGTTGCCTCTTTGCCCTGCACTGGGAGGGAGGGGGGAGAGCCAAGTCCCAATGCCTTGACAGGGCATTTTAGTTAGATTATCTTGAGTTTAACTTGGCAACGTCTTAAGGGAAGGCTCCTATTTAGTTATGATGAAGTGAATGAAATTGGGGGTGATTTGGATGGAAAGGGACCTAGGAAGGAAGTTGTTGGTCCTGGACACACATTCTAGAACCTCAGATTTGCACACAAATGGGGGACGATTTCCCCACATTTAATTTTATTTATCCTCAAAAATGGAACAAACTATTTTGTTTTACCTGCTAAGCAGCACTGCTTAGCAGAACTAATTTGGTGTTATTTTTCCTAGAAAGCTGCATATTCTCTTCTGTGACAGCTCCCGAATTAATAAAAATAAATTTCTCCAGGGGAAAGGGTGGGGTCACTTGCAATTTTAAAAAATCACATAGTAACTGCCACTCATTAAAGACTTAAAATTTTCCAACTCTGCCAAGTGCTTCACACCCATAACATATGTTCCAACAGTTCTAGATAGGGCATATCAGGAATACTTGCAGATGAAGAAGTTCACATGGCTAATAAGTGCTGGGACTAGCACTCTGGACCAAATTGTTCTAGAACCCACACTTATCCATAACGTCAGATCTTTACTCCGGAGGCAGGGCCTGTCTCATTATTCTGTATTCCTCTCAAGATTCTCTAACCAAAGTACCAAAACCAGTCCTGGTGAAGGTGGATATGACAGAGCACAATTAGGGGATTGCCTTTGGTCTTTATTTGCTGAGAACGCTTCCAGTCCCCCGTCCCAGGTGTACTTGACAGCTGGCTCTGCCCCAGTGCTAGCACCGGTCCTGGGTCCTGTACCACGACTTTCCTGCATTATGACACTTTCCCCCTAGGTATTCCCTAGTGTGTCCTCCCATCCAAATCGGAATGTTATATGCTAATCAGCTCTTTCTTGTGTCCTCTGGAGGCTGCAGCCTGTGATGCAGACAGTCCAGATTCACCTCTCTCCCCTGAATTAGAGCATTCTAACTCCCCGAAGGTGTACCTTGGCGGTCTCATCCCCTTCAGTGGAGCCTCCGCAGTAAAGTTTAGATACCTGATTACCACAATCCCCACCACACCACATTGTTACAGCGAGCAGAAAGTATGTTCCTAGTGAGCTGGTGATTAGTCTTATTTCTTACAAGCAGCTGCTTCCCCAGATGGAACTGAAGTGGGGAGATAGGTTGTGAACAATTCAGATAGCAGGATTGTAAAGGAGTGTGTTATTTGAGACTGGGCACTGAACACCTGCACCAATGAGAGAGCTTGCCTAGATGCTCAATAACCCAAGCCTCCCTGATGATTTGGAGATGAGGAAAGACTGTGGGAATCTGTGTGGCACACATCTACTGAGGCTGAATTCCTCACAACCCCAGAGTCCTTCTGAAAAGAGGAAAATGGTTTCTTGATAGACGTGCTAGCTTTGAATAGCCAAGAGCTGAGTTATTCATCATCCTTACCTCAGTACTTGCCCTGGAGGGAAATCCCAGTTTTTTTAGGCCCTTCAAGGCACCTGTAAAAGAGCCCTGCATGCCCAGTCATGCTGAGGGTTACTGGGACTCACAAGCCAAGACTTTGATCATGCTTCAATACAAAGAGAACATTCTTACCCTATCGAGATACTAGAATTTATTTCAGAGGTGAGTACAAAAGGTGAATCCTCCCTACTGATCCAACAAATGTAATCCAACATTTGAAAGCACCTTCCAAGATTGCAAGAATATTGGAGAATTACAAGGCAAAACTGGTCTCCTTAGGAACTCCACCAAGAAACAGAGAATTGTTTTCATAACTAATTCTAATAGTTGCCCTCTAATTGAGCACCTACTATGTAAGAGTGCATGGGAAAGATGGCAAGTGCTCCCCACATTGCATCTTGCTCTATGCTTGTGGGAGGGGCTACCTTACCAATGCTCTTGTACTTAAGGACAGGTCATGTGACTACTGCTGACACTGAAATATTAATGGAAACAGTATCTGTCCTCTCCATGGGTGAAACAGAAAGTTCCATTCAGCATGAAACACTTGCTGAGAAGTGGTAGCATTTAATGGTCAAGCCTGGAAACCTGCGTGGTCTGACAGTGGAGGTGTCATGTCATGTTTTTCAAATTTTAGAATCTGTAAATCTGGGGGAGAGGTTTTATAGTTGATTTCATTTATTCAAAAGCCTACTTAGATTCTAGGCAACAAACCCAAGGATCTGAAGAATTATCATGTAATTCCTCTGTCAGGTGTTGCCAGCTCTGTAGAAGCTAAGTCTATTACCTACAATGCCCTATTGGTCCCCAAGTTCTTTAAATTGTTTATCTCACCTTTGTTTGTTTTGGTACTAGGCCACCTGTGGTCCTCAGCTGACAAAAGATGCCCTAAATATTTACTTCAGCTTGACAGCATTGTATTTTATCCTGTGACAATGCTGTGTTTTGCCTCTGTGAAGAGAGGAACAGTAACACGACTCCAAGTATCAGCTTTACTGTGCTGTTTGGTTTCTGAGGCTACTGGCAAATTGTCTACCTATGGAATAATTGTTCCTCTAGTGAGACAAGTGTAAGTTCTCATGTATATAACCAGAGAAAATAGTAGGACAATTCTAAAACCTTTCAAGAACCCTTTGCTGGGCCTCCCCTGGTGGCGCAGCGGTTGAGCGCTGGGCTGCAAAGCTGCCCCCAGCCTCTGCAGCGCCGGTTCGATCCCCGGCCACCGGCGAGGGTCCCACAAGGAGGGCAGACCTCTCCTGCCGCCCGCTGCTCCCCTCAGCAGTGTATTTCGTCAGTCTGCCTGTTCTGTTCCCCGCTCTGGCTCTGGTGAATTCTCTCACCCTCCTGCGCTTCTGACTGTACCCAGTGCTTGTATAAATAAATAAATCTTTTTTTTTAAAGGACCCTTTGCTAAAAATACCTGACTCTTTTGTAAGCAAATGTAAACAAAAAATTGACTTGTGTGCTAGAGGAACAGAAAGAGAGGGGAAAAAGCTATAAGATCATAGGCGAATTACAGAGGAAGACATAGCAAATGTCATGTCAGACAGTTGCAAGCTTAGGGACTCTAGCGGTAAATGGAATGATACTTTTATTTGTCTAAGCTCTTATACAAATCTACATAGTAATCAACCATCTTTAAGAAACTTACCTCATTTCTTTACCAGAAATATGGGAGAGTACCCTTTTTCTTTTTAATTATCTCCTTTTTTCTACTTGTTGAATTACTAGTTTTATTCTTTCTAACTGAGCTCAAAACAAAGGGTATGATTTTACATGGCCATGACTTATCCCTTTTTTAAATTGGTTCTGTATCTCAAATTTAACTGGCATCACTATGACCTAGCACCCAAAGCACCCAAATCTATGTGCCAAATGCATAGATTTGTTACACATTGGGGTGTTTTTCCAGCATAGTATGATGTCCCGGCTTCTTGCAAGAATGAGTCTTCCCTCTCTACTTCCCTCATGGGTGGTCCAAAATAGGGACTGTTCCTTTAGTAAATAGTTTTAACTGAGCAACTAATGCAGCGATTTAAATTTTTTCTTTGTGTTCTTTCGATTGGCAGAAAATGAGGTAGCCACTGCTAAAGTTGTAGTAATAGTCTGCTTTTGCCAGCTAATCGCCCTGCACCTAACTTGAGTTTGGATGGTGACTTCATTGGCCCTCATACGCCTCGAAGTCCTTTGGAGGCTCTGACATGCTCGCTCCGTCAAACCAGCAAAGTCTGCTGTTTGCACAATTCCATACAGCAGCCAGTTCACAGCCCCATAGGTGAGACTGTAAGCTAAAAACACACTGCAAAGTAATTCTAGGGTTTGGGGGGGGAATCCTTTAAATGAGTAATATCAGAGTATGAGAAATGGGGGGCCTGGGTAACTTCTCAGTGTCATCATCAGCATATTACCATGCTTACGTAATAGTAAAATCTGGAATTCGGAGAGGTTGTATCACTGGACAAGGGAGTGGGACCAGGGGCCCCTCAGTTAGGTCTCATCCTTCAACAACACAGGCAGATAAGCTGGGAGCAAACCAGCCTCTGTCCTCTGCTCCACTTACTGGAAATCAGAGGTATTGCCTGGGGGGCCCTACTGCCAAGCCCCAGAAAGGCGTCTTGAGACCCTTTGGTCAAAATTAAAAAGAGGGGCCTCCCTGGTGGCACAAGGGAGACGCAACCTATGAAGCTATCCGCAGCCACTGCAGCATGAGTTTGATCCCAGGCCAGGGAACTAACCCACATGGCGCAGCAGACCTCCCCTGACTCGCCTGCTGCTCCCCTCAGCAGTGTATTTCAGTCACTTTGCTTGTTCTGCTTCCCACTCTGTCTCTGGTAAGTCCTCTCACCCCCCGCATCTCTTGCCTGTGCCTCAGTT